GCACCGTAGTTTCATGTCTGTTTCGCATTGTCTCATTCATGTCTGGCGCAGGCCGCCCTTGCGCCTCGCGCGCTGGCCTGGGCCTGGCGCAGGCCGCCCTCGATCGCGCGCGCTGGCCTGTTTCTGGCGCAGGCCGCCCTCGATCGATGCGCTGGCCTCGCCATATATCTGGCGCAGGCCTGTGTATATATATATATACACGCATAACTATATATACATATATATAAACATATATGTATGCGTGCGCTGGCTTGCATCTGGTGCAGGCCGCCCTCGATCGATGCGCTGGCCTCATCTGGTGCAGGCCGCCCTCGTGCGCCGGCTTGCATCTGGCGCAGGCTGCCCTCGATTGATGCGCTGGCCTCATCTGGTGCAGGCCGGCCTCGATCGATGTGTTATGTATGTGTATATATATACATACATATATATAAATGTATAAATTAAAATACATATACATACATATGTATACATGCATATATACATACGTGTATGTATCAGGCCGCGGCGTGTTTCCAGTGCAGGCCGCCCTCGTGCGCTGGCCTGTTTCTAGCGCAAGCCGCCGTCGATCGTGCACGAAAGCAATTTTAATGCCTCCAGAGGCCTTGTTTCTGCCCGCCTCCGTGGCGATGCCATGCGGGGCGGCGCTAAAGTGGCCGCGCGGCCGCTTGCCTTCGGGCGCGCATACGTGTGAAATGAAATCACATGTTCTCTCTTCATCATAATTCCCCCCCCCCCCCCCCCCCCCCCCCCCCCCCCCCCCCCCCCCCACCCCCCCCCCCCCCCCCCCCACACACACACACACGCCCCACGCGCACGCGCACGCGCGCGCGCGCGCGCCCCCTCCCGCCCCAGGGCACCTCTCCGACCGAGAACGGTGCGACCGTCTCGTCTCGAGGTTCGCCGCGGAGAGCGGTGCGACATGTCGCACATGCAACTGTTGGGCTCTGAAAAAAAAACACAGAGACAACAGGCAGTTAACGAACATACAGAAAACAAGCAGCCAACACTTGTGCATACGTGTGTGCAAAAAGTGCGATGCAAGCGCTAACCGCGGTCGTGCTGCCTTGTCCCAAATCTGCTTCCACTTGATCTGTGCGCTGAACAAAAGCATCGAATTAATCAATCATCGTGTCTGGTGCAGCTGACAACCTATCACATGGTATTCTCGGTTGCTGTGATACAATTATGTGTACTGGGCAACATATCCAGCAATAGTCATGTCATGTTTTTTTTTTCCTTATGTTTTGGTTTTTCGCTCACGTCTTGGTTAAAAACCATGACTTCCTCTCGTGTCTTGTTTTTTTTTCATGACGTCCGGATGTGTGGGTACGGGGCGGGCTCCGCCGTCGAAGGTGATTTCGCGCGGGCATTGAGGCGGGTCCTGATCGGGGATGGGGGAGTCACTGACGGTGACCTCTTGTCCGTGTTCCATGGACTGGGAGGCGATGAATATAAGGCATTGCCTGGTGCATGTCCTGCAGAAAGTGCCTGACCAGCATGCGGTGGGACTGTCGTCCGTGACGCGGGGGCAGGGGGGCCACCCTGGCCCAGCTAGTAGCCGCCCGGCGATTGCGTGGGTGGACCGGAGGTGCAGGAGGTGCTGGCCGGGCAGGTTAGCGCCCGTGACGGCAGCCAGCCTCCTGCAGTCGCCGCCAGCCCTGTTGGCCAGCCGTGCGCCGTGTAGGGCGGTGGGCCCATGCATGGCGCAGGGAGGGGCGCCGTGCGGCAGGCAATCCTGGCAGGCAGTGTCAGGGCGCGCCCAGCGCTGTCAGCGTCGGCGCCTGGCATGCTTATGGTTATGTCCTCGTCCTCGGGGGCGTCGCTGGATCGGTCAACCACCATTCCGGTGCGAATGAGTTGCGCCGCGCTGTCTGCTTCCAGAGGTGCCCTGCCAAGCGCGACATGGTATCTATAGGAGACTTGGTGCATAAAGACGGCAAATGTCCGCAAGTGGTCGCCAGGGGCGAGGATGGCTTCCGGGGGGAGGTCCGGTGCATCTCCAGGACACACCAGTGTCCAAGCCAGCGCGACGGCAGGGCGCCATCCCCACAGGTGCTCGCTGCCGGCTTCTCCCATGCCGCACAACGGGCAGGTGCCGTGCGGGCTGGGCGCCGGGCTGGGCGTTGCGCAGGTTTGGCCGCGCGCGCTGCGGGTGTTGGCGGCGAGGGCGCGGGGTCGTTCAGGTAGGGCGTGCTGTGGAAGCAGTGGCCACTTCGCTTGGGGACTTGCCCAGTGCCCTAGGCATCGGTTGCACCAGGCGACGCTTCGGTACTGGGCCGAGGCGGTATGCCATACGCGATCGGCCTCGCATTGACATTCATTACACTGGCGGGGGAAACGATCCTGAGCGCTACGCCATGTCGCACGTCCCGGGAGGCCGTTGGAGAGAAACTTGAGAATGTGGTAAGCAGCGGTGAAGTCAGCCGCTTGAGCGAGGATGCCCCATTCCCTCGCTTGTCATGGGGCCCACCTCCGTCGTTGGCTGACCCTTGCGAACCAGTCATTGGCCGTGGTTCCGTGGTGTTGGGCCCATGCGGCCGCGTAGAGGGCGCGGCCGAGGAGCCGCCCCCTTGGCAGGTCAGGTTGGGCCGTGTATGCCATGATAATGCTGGCGGCCTTGGGTAGGGTGAGGGCCTTGGCCCCTCTTCGCGGCCGGGCGGGTGGCGCCGGGTTGCTGTTGGCCCATCTGACGAGCTTGTTCCACCTGGTCAGTGCCCTCCGTTTTGCCGTTGAGGGTCCCCGCGCGTCGCTCCGCGCGCGTGCCAGTGCTGAAATGCTGCGGGCCAGGGCGACGGGGCAACTAGGGCGCCCCAGTATCTGAGGCATGAAGTCCAGGCCCGTGAGGATATGGCCGGGCGCCCAGTGGGGACCAGCCAGCCCAATAGCCAGGCGCAGTTGGGACCTCATAGACCTTTCAAGTGTTGGGGGCGGGCGCGCGTATAGGGGATCAGGGAGGCGATGCGTGCGTTTAACGCCGCCGCTCTCCGCCCGGGAGAGGCCCGTGCGTCGTGGAGCGCGGGGGTTCTGGACCGCATCTTACTCATGGCCTGTCCCCGGGCGCCAGTGATCATAGCGTCCACATGCGCGGGCGTCATGGCCCCCCGTGGCGGCCCCGCGTCAGCCAGTGTGCGCGAGACCATTGCTGCGCTCAGGCACGGCCATTGTGGCCTGGCGCACGACGCGCCGAACGGAGAGCGTGCCATGATTCGCCTCCACCAGGCGTGATCGGCGGCTGGGACAAGGGCAGGCTTGAACGTGCACGTGCAATCATCTTGCCAGATCCAGGCGTTCCGGGTGCCGCTTGGGCCGAGTTCGTTGGTAAGGATCCTCTTTGTCAGCTCTGGAGTGAGGCCAATCACCGCGGGTGCTCCGGAGATTGTTTTTTTATCCTCTGGGGGGTAACGCTCGTTACCCGGGCCTCTCCCCCCCCCCCCCCCGTAACGGTAACGCTCGTGCGCGGGGGGGGTCTCGGTCTTCCCCTCCAACATGCTGGTGCCCGAAGGCATGCGCACTGTGGTGTGGTGGTCGCAGGCGCACTGTGGGCGCTCGCAGGCCATTGCGGCGCTCGCATGCGCGATGCTGGTGCTTGCGGGCTTTGCGCTTGTACTCGAATCGTCGTCGTCGTCGTCGTCGTCGTCGTCGTCGTCGTCGTCGTCGTCGTCGTCGTCGACGGCGCCCGAAAACGGCCTCCGGAGGCCGAAACAGGCGGCAAACGTCGTCGTCGTCGTCGTCGACCTCGTCGCTCGTCGCTCGTCGATCATCGTCGTCGCGCGCGCGGGCGCGGGCGTGGTGCCGGGACCACGCGGCGGGCTTTGCGCTTGTACTCGAATCGCAAGCCACTGTGGTGCTCTCAGGCAGAGAGTGCTGCTCGCGCGCATACTATGGCGATCGCAGAGCGCCCCTGCTTCGCCATACCCCGCCCAGCCCAAGCGTTACCGTTACCCGGGGGGCACGACCCCCCCCCCCCGGGTAACGAGCGTTACCGGCCGGAATAAAAAAATGATCTCCCGCTGGAGCGGCGTTTAACCTGCACAGGCAGGGGCGCACAGGCACGCCGTAGATTGTCCGGCGACGCAGGCGGCACGAGCCCCTGGCACGCGTGGGCGTCGACGCAAAGCCCAGCCATGTGCGAGGCCCACGGAAGCAGGATGGAGGCGCGCAGGGCCTGCTCGGCGGTGGTAAGGAGTTCAGCAAGGTCGTCCACGTAGGCGGGGCATCTGTCCCCGGTGGCAGCAGAAGTTGCCTCAATGACGGGGTCGTATGCCATGCGCCATATGAGGGGGGAGGCGGTGCCTCCCATGCTGATGGACCGCAGTAGTCGCTTCCTTGGTCCGGCGTAGGTGCCTTTGCACGTCTGCACGTGTCTATGGTGAGGGCCATGAGGGCGTGCCTGAGCCAGGTTGGGAGCCTCCGGCGCCGTAGTAACTCCTCTACCAATGTATGGGGCAGTCTCTCGAACGCTTTGCTGTGGTCTGCGAATGACGTCGCCGTGGCAGTGGACGTCGAGGCCCCCGCCGCTGCTTCCCTGATGTAGGTGTCTACCAGAGGACCGTAGTCTCCCAAGAAGTGATGCCAGGCGGCGACAGGAGGGGGGTTGAGGGCGGGCGCTTTGCCGAGGTGGTCAGTAGCTGCAGTGATGTTGGGCCCGCATGGTCCATTTCTCTTGGCTGCCCGATCTCCTGAGAGCTGAGGTTAGATCAGTGGCCCAAGCAGGTCCGCCAGGGATGCGCCGAATAGGAGACGCATGCAGGTAGGCAACTGCAGGGGGCGCAAGTCGTTGGGGCGCTCGGCGTCAGGGATCTTCAATATCCACACTAGGAGGTCAACGGATGGGCCGAGGACTTGCTCGAGGCGCCCTCAGACGCGCCTCCCACCCTGCCCCCAACGACGGCCCCACCCGCATAGGTGCTAGTGGCGAGTCGCAGATCGACACCTTCGCCTGTCCAGCACATTTTCCGACCACGCTCTGATGTGCGCCGACCCGCCCTCGCACCCTGCAGTCAAGAGATGTGACGTGCTCACACCCTGGGCCTACAAAGGGCTCCCGGGGGAGGCGCATGACGACCTGCGACGACACTGCAACATCCTGGATATGATGTTCCAGATGCCGCAAGTGGACCTGACTGGCCTCGTGCAGCCCAGTGACTGGACCCGGCCCGCCCCCCCAGGCTGCCTCCCCGACGATCTTCCTGCCAATGATAGACACGACTTGAACCATGAAGAAGACGGCCACGACGACCTCATCCCGCCAGTCAAGGACCGCGCACCACCCCGGATCGACGCACTCGCCGAGCACGGGCGCGACGCCCTCAGCGCTGCGATCGCGCCCTGGTGAAAATATGGGTCAGACGGCGCCTGGCCCCCATGATGGGCGCGCAGCTGCGAAGGGCCGCAACCGGCACCGGGGCGTTCAGACCGACCGGGCCCTCAGCAGCATGGTTGACAAGCGCAGGATGGGGCGGCGACGACTTGTCACCCAGCGAGGCAGCCGCCTGGGAGACCAGATGGCGCGCGGACCAGACCCAACGACGGACAGCCCAGCTGACTCCGCGGGAATGCGGCGCTGGCGTGGAGAGGGCCCAGCTCGCCGAACTACCGGATTGGTCGGGAGATATTCAAGAAGACGCACTCCTTAAGAGGAGCGCGAGGACCCGGTGACCGCTGGAACGACGCCGCCTCCAGAATGGAGAAGGTATTATGGAACAGCCGAGCAGGCATTTGGCAGTCGGTGCAACCCTTGCCGCCCGCCCACACACGCCTCCTGGACTCCTACTTCGCGGGTGGACGCACGACTCACCTACCGGACCTCCTTGCGCCACGGTGTGGCCGCCTAGCCGCCCTCGTTTTGAACCCAGGCGCACCTGGCATCGACGGCGAACCTTGCGAAGCATACCACCTGGGCTCCAGATTCGTCGCCTGCCTCCTGGGCCAGGCCTGGCACGTTGCCCGCGCGGACCCGGAGACCCATGAGGCGACGTCCTCAATCTCACCGTCTCGCGGGCCCTGCCATTCCATGTTGACGTCTCCCCCCCAGCAGGTGCGGGCGCCGTCGGGGGCGGCGAGGGCGTCCGCTAGGGCGGCCAGGACCGGAGAGCGCCGGTCTGGCGGGAGATAAAAGGCAGAGGAACAAAAGACGGCGCAGCCGAAGGAATATTACGATAATGTAGATTGCCCAGGCTATCGCTGCAAAGTGTGCCAGGACAGTTGTGATAGGGGCGACAATCATGGCGCTTCTATTCATGACAACGATTGTCTAACATATGTTTTCCTCGCAAATAGACCGAGCAAAATTGCGAGTAGAGTAGCCGAGAAACTTCAGGCTTTCGGCCCCCCGAACGGCGCAGCCGCTAGGGAAGTTCAAAGTACCAGTTATGTATACGTCGGGAAACTACCCGAGGACCTTGGAAGCTACACCGAAACCGACGGAGACGAATATTCTGGGACAGTGATTGCCAACAAAGCGGGCATAGCCCCCATGAGGGGAAGCGGATTTGATGCCGTATCGGAGTGGGGGAAGAAGCTGGTGAGTGTTCTTGCAGAAAAAAAGAAGATTGCCAACAAATGGACCAACGTTGACCTAAAACACAAATATCACTTGGAACCCGAGGATGATGATAGCGAGTTTCTTTGTGGGGAAAACGTGCCACAAATGCCTCGCGAACGGTGGGCGCAGCAAAAAGTGATGACCCGAAATGGCTGCGCATATTCTCGGGCGGACAGTGTTGCAATGGCACTCAGCGGGGACTTGAAGTCAGCCAATGAATCAGTGATTCAGTGATTATATATTAAAGCGTCTGTTGGTCCACAGATTGTCTTCTGGGCAACGCGCGAGCCGGACTCGCAGGGGAGTTTCGAAGGCAATTTTGATTGTCCGCCTCCAGATTTGGCGCAAATCAAGGAATCGCAGTACTTTCAGTCACACGTTGAGCCAAACGCCATGTTGAGATCTAGATTCTTCACAGGGCCTCCAGGGGGCCCGACGAGCAAACCTGTCCGGTACTGCGATCGTGGAGAAATCATCGGACCAGTTCTTCGGACTGCTCAGCGTATCTACATGGCAGGGGCAGGATATTTTGTCGCAATCAAAACTATTGACAGACGCACTGATCAAGTTGTCTTCATTATTTGTGGACCATCTAAGTGAAGACCCTCGCGCAGCCCTGCTGTTGACAGACGAGGGGCCCACTTTGCACGTCCCTTAATCGGAGGGGGGGCCGAAGTTAAAGTGAATGTGGTTGCGCAAGCCTTGATCGGGGACGCTCCAAACAGACCCCGCGGCGGGGGCGAGGAGCAGGAATAACCGCAAATCAAGAGAACCAAACTTCGCTGAGCGACGCAGTCGCCTGAGCGAGGGGGGCCGCCTTCGAGGGAAGGCAACGTCGCGACTCAAAAGGCCTACTCCCCACTGAGGCGGATGGGCGACGGGGAAGATCAGCGGCCCATTAAAGTGGCCAAAACTGAGACGTCCATGCGCGTTGAGGAAGATGCGATCTTCTCAGACATCGCAATTCCAGATGCGCCCGTTGACGCACCGTGGGGAGGCAGTTTCTCGAGCTCTGGTGCTGCAGTTGGCGCTCCGAGCGGAAGTGGTTCTTCTAGTAATCCCAACGCCGGCGCAGCCGGGGGTTGGGGGTCGTGGTCTGGTGCTGGATCTGGCGGTGGAAACGCTGGACAGAACCCAGGTGCCCCAAATGGGGGTGGAGGCGGAGGTCGGCCTCCTGATCCGGGTCCGCCTGAACCTCCCCGTTCGGAAGCAGTGGGTGGTGAGTCCGATCCGCCTTATTTGGCCCGTGGAATTTGGAATGCGCTGCAACGCAGAGAGCAAAAAGACGCCAGCACAGCCGCGCCCTTGCAGGGCAGCGAAGTATCCGACGAATGGGCTCGTTGCGTCAAAGAGAGCGGCATTGTATGCTGAAGTAGTCGATATTTCCCTTTATTCTGCGTTGGGGTGGCTCAAGAATCAGCGTTTGTGCCAAGCCGTTGCATTAATGGCAGAATCGCGCGGCCATGGGTGGATTCCCTACAGTGGTGAGGATCTGGCCGCCATGGTGCGGACCGGCAGACCCCCGCGCGATTTTCTTTGACCTTTGGAGCGAAGCTCATGCAGAGGACACAAGTATTGGGGCGCTGCCATTCATATGATCCTTGATCTTTCGTGCAAGTTCAGTAATGCGCAAGAGGAGAGGCTTGGCCCTGGTTCGAGCCTTCCATATTTTAGGCGGGGCAGTCTTCTGGGAACGGACGCAGACATCAGATGTGGAGAGTGCGGGCCGACGCTTCTGCAATGCATGGGAAATGAAGATATGTGGAATAATCAAGTCTCCAACCCTGGGAAATTTCGCCCCAAGGCAGCATATGCCAATACAATATGTACCTTAGATCACGAATGATATCTCTGACGGAAACACTTGCGACATCATGGGGCTGCCCGGGGCGAAAAAGAAGAGCGCCGAGCCTCAGAAGCCGATTGCATTACTTGGCCGATTTTTCGAGACAGCTGAGAGGATGATAGATGAGGCTGTAAAACGTTCCAAGACGGGAGCCATACATATATATATTAGATTGGCGGAGATCATAGATGTTGGCAGTCGGGGAATTGCACGGTCAAAATGGATCCCATGTTGGACGACATTGCTACCTTGTTGCGGGCGCGCATGAATCAGCGGATTGAGCGGTGCAAGACTGCAGGGATTCAGCTCAAAATAATGATTTTGGACGGTGCGTGCTTGCGTCGGAAACTTCGTCGCACCTCGAACGACGCGCACTATTTTGTCGACCAACACGAGTCGTGCAAGTTGGACAGAGACGGTGCAACAGTCAATGTTCAAGGGGGTAAGATAATGGCCGATCACATGATGCAAGCAAAACGTTTCGCCGCTTGGTTTTTGTGTCAACCCTCTGGCGGCTCAGCCGCCCAGGAGTGGGCTTGCGATGGCGAATTGCGAGCAGATGGATTCGCGAAGACAGAAGCTACTTATGAAGAGCACGTCTCGTATTGGACCAACTGGTGTCCTACCGTGGACGGTGCTCCGATTTCACTATTGGGAACGCTCCCTTTCTGCTGACGTGCTCAATGCCGTTCCTGTCAACGCTGATGGGACAGGACAGGGGGCGCGGCATTCTTTATTTTCACAATATTGGAAATATTGTATCTCGAAAGAACATGGCAGTGAAAAGTACTTGCGTTGGAGCGAGTACCATCACTTCCTTAAGAGGAGCTTGCCGTGCATTCCCGGCACGCCTCTGGACTGGCGCGCCATGCGTCGTGGTGGCGAACAAATTTCATAGATCAGTTCATGCAGGAAGCAATAGACTCACTGGAAGCATCTCGATCATTTTTTCGCTCACCTGCGCAGTCTGCGAAGCGGATTGCCTGGCGAACCTCGGGGGCGCAGCCCGCGCCAAGGCAGGGCGGCCAATTGGAGGCCAGCCCCGCTGGTGCAGCTTCGATTACCAGTCCTGCCGGACAATCAATGCCAACTACGAGCGATGCAGGGGGCTCTGTTGGACCTGGCGCAGCCGCGAGTTCAATCGAGAGTCGGGCACGCTCAGTGGAACCTGTTAGAGTATTAACTGCTTTTTCTTTCCCCTGCTGGACATTGCGAGAACACGATAAGAGGAAAGTGTCCGGAGAACGCAACGGGAAGAGGTCTGGGCAAGAAGAGGAAATATCCTCCACTCGGGTCTGATAATGTTCGCAGGTCGCCTGTCACATTGCCACATCCATCGACGATTGGACTGACTGAAGGAGAGGGTGGACAACTTGCAGAGTTCATCTCCCTGAAGCCCTTGAATGCTAATGAGTTAGCCCGACGTCTTTACAGCAATAATAATATGCGGCCAGGGGGAGATTCTGATGATTGCACAATGAAGCGCTCGTGCATAGTGCAGCTTATGATCGGTTGCGCGTCGCATCGAACGGAGATGCGTGGTTGGCGCAGCAAATGCTCCGAGAGAGTGCGAGACGGCCGGTTTTGTGTGCAGGATATGTGATCCCAAACTGGGCGAAGTTCTTCATCGCGCGACGTGACCGCGCAGCGCCCGGGGCACCGAGGACGATTGTTGACCGCATCGTGTGGGAAAAGGCAGCAATTGTAGAACACGCAGAAAAGGAGCAGCGTGTCCAATTGACATTTCCTCTCAAAGTACAAGAGGAAAAATTGGCAGAGATGATTTCGGGCCAACATTGGACTGGGCAGTCCCACGGAACATCCGTTGGGGCGCCCCACTCGATTCTCGATGAATGCCAAGTTCCTCCTTCCGACCGAGAATGTGGGAGAAACGTGGAGAATACGAATGTCCGGATATGTTCTTTGACATATTCAGAAGGTAATC